CTATGCTCCCACACACACACAGCTTCGCCTGCACTTGGCAGAGCATGAGAGGCCGAAAAGTCCCTGGTGCAAGCACCACCCAGCAACAACCGAAGCGTCAATGGGCCATCAATGCTCCTCTCATACCAAACCCAAAACACAGCACACCCCCCAAGCTACTGGGAAGAAAGTTAACTCTGTCCCCGCCAGAACCAGGACACCTAGAGAGCCATGTTGGTAATGGCTGTGTACTGTTGCCAGGAGTCTGTCATATCTGGTAATCTCATAACCAATCGCCAGTGCATCTTCTTGCTGAGCAGTTTTGCTTTGAACACGGCCATCTGCAAAAAGCTCTGAGTCACTTTTTCCCCCTCTTCATGGGACAGAAAACTTGTTTTTTCCCCAGAATGAATCAATTAAATAAATAAAAATTGGGAGCTTTGGCTTTCTGACTCTGCTTCCCCAACGTGTCGCACTGGCCAGAGGTATTACAGTGGGAGGGCACCAGGGTGCAGGTCAGGGGAAGGTTTGGTGGTGCCTGGCAGCAGGCTCTGGTCTTAGCGCTGATCATCTGGCATCTGCTGCCCATCTCCGGCCACGCTGCATCACCCAGTCCTGCAGCGGCTGCTTTGAGCTGGCTCTTCCCAGCCAGTGTTTGCTGTGCTGGTTTCTCTGTATGGGCCTGTGTGCACACTGTGCATCTTACTGGCTTGTTCTGGAGTTGGGTTTTTGGCGTTTATGTTTAGCCAAATAAATGCAAAGTCATTTTACTCAGCGTGTGCCAGATCCCTTCTGTCATCCTAGCACAGCCAGTTTCCGTCGTGGTCTCCTCACCTGCCATCTTAGCAATGGTTTGAGAGAGAAGATGCTTCAGTGGGGGCCAAAAGATTACCCACTGGTTTCTGCAAGTCGTCATCGCTCCTGATGTCCGTCCCCACATCTGTTGTAGCTGTAGAGCAGATACTGCTACCGGGCAAGGCTGGTTAAGGCAGCATTAACTAATTGCCTGCGTGCTAAGGTGCTTCAAGGCTCCTTCCCTTGCCTGGCCCCAGGCTGGCAGGTGTGGATGCTCCCGCT